TGAGACGTTCGTTGAGAATTATAACGCGACTGTTGAAATTAAGTGTATCGCAAGTTATATTCAGAAAGAATAAACCAGTTTTATTAAGAAAGGACTTGTGTGTCGCTAAAGTTTCGTCGGAACGAAGTTACGGAAAATTAACTAACGAACGGAGACGTAACAATATGAATAAAAGTTTGGTTATATCTGTACATTAGAACCGTAAAGTTTTATGAATTTTGATTGTATAGTACTTCAAGTGAATGGCAAGTATTTCTATTTTAATTAGTTTCTATAATACTAAAGTGATTGGTTAAACAGTAAGTCATTCATTTATTATATTTTGTTGTAGCAAAATGGTCAGGTTAATTATCTTCAATTAGAAACAGAAAGAACTGTTATATGTTGTCATTCACTTAATGTTCAAGATAAATACAGAAGGTAAGATTTTCTACAACTCATCAAACTCTATATAACTAAATATGAAAATAAGCGTCCTTTTACGGATGAATAAATGTTAGGTATAGAAATGAAAAATGTCAGGAAATGCAAAATAGTATTGTTACGACAGCGGAAGTCACGTGAAGTTATTGTTAATTATCTATTGGTTTTATGTAAGTGGCTATTGTTCGGGACGAACCATACTAAGGAAGGGGCACTGTTATGACAGTGTTATAACACGTGATGAGATTCTCGAAGGATCGTGAATTGTCCAGGCAACTCTAGTCTTTTCCAGGCGCACTCTTTTTTAGTATATAAGCCCGGCAAATAAAGCGGAGAGATAATTGCATAGATAGAGAGATTGAAGAGAGAGATAATCGAGTCAAGTCGTAAGTAAAGTGTGTGAATCCCTGTGAATTATAGCGTGTTTTTATAAAAGTAGTTAAGTTAAACTGACTGTGGAAATTCTGTGTATTGCAAAGTTGTATTGAGCAAGAATAAACTAGTTTTATTTAAGAAAGGACTTATATCACTGAAGTTCCTCGGAAAGAATTTATATCGGAAACTAACAAACGACCAGATATGCAACAGCATAATTATAAAAGTGAGAACTGTAATCAAGACATTAAATGTGATGGTAACGCTATCCAGCTCTGGAAATAGCAAAATGTATGTCATGCATGTTAAATATAGTAGTAAAACTTTAGAACTAATGGGTTAGTAAAGTGTTTTATAGGTAATTCAACAGATAATTGTAAAAGTATGTAAACTAAATTATTGGCCATAATATTTGCCTTGTTCAAATAATGGAGAATATGTGTGATAAAAACTGATATGTGTAAAAGTGTTATAACATTTGTTTCATTAATTTAAAATACGTTTTACTTGTATCATTTAGAATATAAGTAAATCTAGAGTTTGAGGACATGTTGAAATACTGTATGATGAGATCATCATGGCAGCCTACCAATGCAAAGTTGAAATCTGTATCCAATCCTACGGGACTATCTGCCTAGTAACATCATTCACCTATAGAGACCTTAGTAACAAAATCCACCTACAGTAACAGTATCTACCTATAGAACCTTAGTAACCCTGTCTTTGTATACTAACAGCTGCGTAAATCTTAGTAACACCATCTGCCTAAAGAAAGTTGGTAATCCCACTCCCATGTACAACCTTAATAGTACCATCCGCCTATAGTAACAACATCCACCTATAAAAATTAGTAACACCATCTGCCTATAGTAACAGACCCACTGGTATCGAACTGTGATATCATCCTTCCCTCAGATAGCCGCGCCCTCTGGTTCCACTTCATGGATGTCATCACCCTTTGGTGTCTGTTAAACAACACTTATGTAACCCTCAAGTGTCAGGATATTACGTAAGTTATGTAACCCTCAAGTGTTAGCATACTAAGTAACAGCTGCATAAACCAAAGCAGTGGTATATTAAGTCATAGTTATGTACCCCAGCACAGAGGCAGCATCCTTTTAGTGGTTAAGTACCTTCCTAACTACTAACACTGTTAATTGTAAGTGAGCATCACATTTCTTGCTTATTAAAAACAGTACTGTTGATGTTAAGAAAGTGTACAAAAATTTATTATTCAAAACAGCACTGTTGATCTTAAACGAATGTATCTTTACTTTAATACACAAAACAGCACTATTGATCTTAACTTAAATAAGTGTGCTGTTACTTGACAGCTGATAACATCACTATTGGTTTTAAACAAATGTATCTTTAATTTAACATTCAAAACAGCACTGTTGATCTTAAACGACTGTACTCTTACTTGAATATTCAAAACATTACTGTTAATTTTAAACAGTGATTTTACCTTTGCCTGTTGGAACACTTGGTGTAAATAAATGACAGAAAATTGGGTATAATTACTAATTTTCTACGTACAATACATATGAGACTAATTGCAATATTGACATCATTTATGTTTAATGTTTAGGGTGTGTGACTTATGTTATTAAGGACCTTGAACACACAAGCATAAAATGCGTAGAAAAAATCTACTTTGAAAACTAAAATCTTTGGGAATTCTAGAGTTTAGGGACTGTGCATGTTAGATCTACAAGACTGTTTCCATGTAATGTGAGTGATATAATTTAGACAGCTTATATAAAGTGAGTGTTAAATTTAGTTATTTTTAGAAGTGATAGTTTATCGTAAGTTTGTTTACATAACTGTTTACAAATCATAAGTTGTGTACTTTAATAGTTATGAAATGGTGATTGTTATATCACTTTATCATGTTACTAGAACCTTCTTGGTTTTTCTTGTTGTTTTAATTGAGTATTATTGCATCATAATATCTAGTAATGAGTCGAATGTTCTAGACTTCTGTTGGGAGAAAATAGGGGTGAGAAATTTAGTTAGATAGATAGATAGATCTAGGCTGCATGATTGTGAGTTTAGCCATAACGAATGTATAGTGGCGATTCTTAAAGTGAAATTATCACAGATTGTATTGTAATAACAGAGTAGAAAAGATTAATTTGTCTTGTCAATTGTGTTCTAAAGCAACTTAACCAGTGTGTGTGTAGACTTTGACAAAAAATAGAGACAATTATTTAAAGCTCTGGATACAACTGTGATAACCAACAGTGTAACGAATATTTGTATATATGTTTGACTTGTTTTAATATATTATTGTAAAACAGGTAGATTGAGAAATAAATTAATGAATTTGCCTTCTTTAACTTATACCAGTGACAATTTCAATGTTATATTTATTGTTTGTTGTTTCTTAGAATTTTATCTGACAAAATTAAGAGACAGTGATTTACATAAAATAAAGGGTGCATGAGGCATTCTAACGTTTATTAGATTTATCTGATTAAACATCCGAATGTATCATTTAATTCTATGTTAATAGTGTGATCAGACCATTTCTCATATTCCACTGGAAGAGACACAATACATATACATCTGTGATTATCTTACCGTCATTTTATTGTCATGAAAGTTGATGTAGAAACATGTTCACCAGTAAATATTTGAATTAGTAAGAATGACAGCTGTAATTTGTTTACTAAAACAAATTTGTAAATGATAAACTACACAACCAAGAATAATGTCAGTTTATCAATTCCAGTGAAGTTGAAAGTTAAACTTTACATTCTTCACAGGATAGAAGTAGTGGATCCTTTTCACTTTTGTTCTCATGTCCATAGGGTTTGTCGGTGTTGTCATTATAGGCTATAGGAAAGGCTACAAGAAAAGAGAGAGCTCTGTTACAGTATTACTTGTTATCTATTAATTTAGGATACTAGTGATGAGTAAAGGACGATAAATTATAACCAAACAAACAATATAATTTCTTCCCTAAGACTGGTTGGTTAAAAACAAACTAACAAACAATAACTTGTGCACCTTTATTATCTAACCTTTGTGTCTGAACAACTTGGGTAAGCATATCCAGTAATTTAGCTTCATTAAACACCAAAACCACATTCAACTATAACAGCGTTTTTTGAATTTCTGTCTGAACTATAAGAGAAAAATCTTTACAACACATGTAATAAATCTGATGAACATACAGTAATAATAAAAGCTAATTTTTTTACTGGTAACAAAAAGAAAGAATATACTTCAAAGTTTGAAAACCACTCAAAACATTCTATAACAACATAAAACATTTTTTTTTGCTACCCAAAATATTAATGTACACTATATTGTAACATCAGAAGTAGGAGGTGTGGGTTTCATATTTATGGGAAACGAAAGTGTATGCTATACTGTAATGAAAGTGACAGAAGTGCATTTAGTATCGGTTTCAATGAAAATTTTCGTCCTGTTTCCGTACTAGACCACATAATTATTATAAATACAAAATGTAGAATATATGAAATATAATCCTGTATGATGTAATGCTAAGCAGAGAGTATAGGTTATATATTGAAATGCTACTATACTAAAAAGAGGGAGAGTCTCTTGTGCTGTTTCACTGCCAGTGTTTTTTATATTTCTAATATGCTATTGTGGCATTTTCAGTTAAAACTGATTCCCCCAAAGAGTAAATCAGGTAGGCCTCTATCTAACAGGAGGTTTAGCAAGATTGTTACGACAACGCAGGTCACGTGACGCTTGTATCACGCCACTTCCTTCTCGAACCTTCATGAAATATTGGGAGTTTACTAGATCTCGGTATTATTTTATATATAAGATGGTCACAACGTGACGGAGGCAATGTAATGAGTAATTGAATGTATGCGGACAGAATATTGTTGAGCACGTGAGAAGTTCGTTTTGAATTATAGCGTTTGTTATAGCGCGACTGTTGAAATTAAGTGTATCGCAAAGTTGTATTCAGAAAGAATAAACCAGTTTTATTTAAGAAAGGGCTTGTATCGGTAAAGTTTCTTCGGAAGTAATTTTTACGGAAAATTAACTAACAACAGGAGGCGTAATAATATATTACAAAGTAATACTGAGTGCCTTGACAGGTAACTGAGTTTGTTAAGCTAAGAAATAAATGGACTGGGCATGATGCGTAATATACAGTGAAACAATTTTTATTCTTACAGTACAAAATAACAGTGTGTATAGTCTCTTTTTTGTTTTGGACAATGGACAGTTGCCGTTATTGAAGAGGTGGAAAAATCAGGCTGGTTACACTACCTTAAGAATTAGTTACCGGTTGACCAAATAACTAAAGATAATGTTCCAAACTGACTGAATCTCACATTAATTAGTCAAAACTAGAACAGAAGAATTTCACGTAGTGCCTAGTGTTACTCATATGACTGGTCATTCCCATTCAAAAGTAAAAGAGGTTTTAATCTTGAGACATCACCTGATCTACAGCTGTCAACCATCACGCACAAGGCAGTACTTGACAGCCATATCATCCATATGTTTCAAGGAATGATTGAGAACAAAAGTAGCTAGAACTAAAACAACTCAATGATTTTCTTGGCCACATGTTATGTGAAAACTGCATATTCATCAGTATAACAGAAAATGTTGAAAAATTCATATATGAAATTAGAAGGTAGAAAATGCATGGTATGTTTGCATACCACATTATCAGGACGTGTGTTTTATATTAAAATGATAACAATGTAGAGTGTTTTATGTGTTGTATCTTTACCCAAATTTGTTACATTGCTAAACTACTATCAGGAAGTGTGTTTTAGATGTCAATGCTAGCAGCATGGAGTGTATTATGTGTTTTATCAGTACTAGTAGGATATGTTTGTTAAATTCTAAGCTGCTACTAAGAAGTATTTTATATTGTAACACTAACAACATAGAGCATATATTGTGTTGTATCACTACCAGCAGTACATGTAAGTTATATTGGAACTTGTATGATGAATTTTTATATTTCAATACTAAAAGGGTGAAGTGAAGGTGATGCTTAGTTTCATTACAAGTATGCAGTTTAAGCTCTGTAACTTTATAAACTTTGTTGTGTTAATACTGAATTATTCCTGACTTACCCTCTTGTTTTGGCTTTGTTTTCAACTGCATGGGAATCATCGTTAGCAGGAATATAGCACTGAAAACAGTAATTCCTCCAACACCATAACAAAGTGTATTTTTGTAGAACCAACTGCAGTTAATACATTTCAGTCTAAAAGGTTAAACATAGGAAAGTTAGTAGGTATCTTATTAATGCACACAAACAAAAAAAACGATAAAACCTTAGCCTTTACAACACCAAAAGCTCTAAGATTTTATCTTTTTTTTTAAACGAGCCACCAACCATTCTGATCTCATGCATTTTTTTTACTCTTGTTATTATATATCACCAAAATACACAAATTCAAACATAACAGATCATATCTAAAATAGTGCTGGGACATACCCATAAAAATCTTATTTTATACAACATAAATAATCCTCTAAGGTTTTTATTTTGTACAACATAAGCAATCCCATTAAAATATTGCCTTGTTCAATGTAAGCATACCAACAAACAACATAAGCATTCCCACAAGGATCTAATCTTGTCAAATGTAAAAGTTCTCATAAGGATATTATCTTGTGCATTATTAATGGCTAGATGTGTATCATGTAATCTCAGAGGTTTGTTAGTTTTACCTGTTATAACCAAACTTGAATTATTGTAACAATTATTATTATTGGGTGGGTACTTTGGGGTTGTTCACTTAACAGAAGAATGCAAAGTTCATTCCACTTAATGATAACAAAAACATTTTATTTTTCCTATAGTAAGTTCTACATTTCACAACATATGCATATCATAGACTAACTTCACAAATAATGCTAAAAAGTAATTACTTGCTAATATCTGTTGCATCTACAATACTTCTCAAATCCCTATTAATTCACTGAAAATATAAACTGAAACTTTACATTCTCCAGTTGGCTATTCTCTTGCCAACTTGCTTCCAAAAGTGATCACAACAGATGATCTTAGATCTGGACCAACTTTCTGCTTTTTTGCACTTCAGGTTGGATGTCTTAATTATCTTGCACTTCCATTCTTTTTGTCATTAGAAGTTTAACCTCTAGTGGTATGTCATGTAGTGCACAGGGATATCCTGATCATATATTATGAAACTGTTCAAATCTAAAGCTCGTCTAATATTACATCCATGTTTCTGCATGAAGTCTATTCCTAATATGCATCCTTCCACAATGTCCATTATTCATACATCATTTTGTGTAGAGAAGTTTCCCACAGTGAGAATGACTCCCACTTTCCTCCTGCTGGAACTTCATGCACGTTAATTCATCCTCTTGCTCGACCTATGGAAGCAGTTTTCCAACCTTCATTACCAGATCAGATCAAATAATGGCAACTGTTGAACTAGTGGGAATCAAGATATTTTGAGGCTTTCCATTAATGAATCCATTAACTCATGGACTGGTTTCTTTAGATACTAAACTTCTTATTTTAATTACAAATGGAATTTTCTCGACTGAACTTCACCTTTTAAGTTCAGCTAATTCCTATTTTCCAAGGTCTGATTAACTCTGCTGTTCCTTTGATGTAGTTAGATTCTGGGGCTTATTCTCAGGGAATCATCTCCTGGTTTTATTATTATACTAGTAGATGCCATTGAAACAATTCAATGGTAATTTTCCTAAAATTAGTGATGAATAAATAAAAAAATGTGCAGTTAACCCAATCCCTTGGAATAGAGTGTATATGCCATGAAATTCTCTCACAAAGAAACATTTTTGTTCTTAATAAAAAATTTTTTCAGACTTTCTATTCAGCACACATGAAGACTAACAGATGAATGTTGATATTGATATGAAATTTTAAGAAATTGCAAAATAATGAATAATAAGCATTTTGATATATAATTTATTTTCTACAGATACAGAAGATACAGAACATGATAGACAGACACTTGGCTATTACTTATATAGATAATGATTTGTCACAGTTTCAGCAGTATTGTCCATGTTTTCCATGCTGTTAACACCAAAAATGGCAGTTTATTTTTAACTTGCAAAAAATGTGATACAAAAAGGAAATTTGCTTCTCTTATTAAGAAAAGAAAAATTATAATAAGTGATCCATAATTTAAACTATTTATTCTACCCACTCTTGTAGAAAATGTATTAGACTGCTATTTGTAAGATATAGAATTAAATGTTTCGGGTATAAGTATTTAAGATAAATTTTCATACCTGTTTGTATAGATTGG